CAGGAACGTCTAGATAGCTCTGGCATGTGTCAGCTTTTCTGAGTGGCTCTGAATTCAAACCTTCTGCTGAAATTGCCATGTCATCCTGATGGGAAGCAGTATTGAACCCAAAGTCCCATCCTTTACCTTCTTTATCACTCGGCCTCTTTGAGGAAAACATGTATTACTTGCTTTTTTGGCTGTACTTAGTATTTTTAATAAACCTATTATTTCAGAATTTTTTTAATTTATAGAGATGTGAAGATAGTACAGAGTTCCTATATACCCTATATCCAATTTCCCATAGTAACAGCTTACATTAATGTACAATATTTGTCACAATTAAGAATCTATATCATTACAGTATTTTTAACTAAAATCCATACTTTATTCAGATTTCCTTCATTTTTACATAATGTTCTTTTTCAGCTCTAGGATCTCATTCAGAATACCCTATTACATTTAGTTGTTATGTCTTTTTAGACTCCTTTTATCTATGATTTTTTCCTAGACACTCGTTTTCTTCAATGACATTGATAGTTTTTTTTTTTTAATTTTTTACTTTTAACTTTCATGGGTATATGGTGGTTGTATATATTTGTAGGGTACACGTGATATTTTGATGCAGACATACAATGCATAGTAATCACATCATGGCAAATAGGTTATCTCTCACCTCAAACATTTATCCCTTCTTTGTGTTATGAACAATCCATTTTGAGGAGTATTGGTCAAGTATTTTGTAGAACATTCTTTAATTGGCATTTGTCTAATTTTTTTTCTCATAATGAGACTGAGGTAGGTTTTTTGGAGGAAGATCACAGAGGTAAAGTGCTATTCTCATCACATAATCTCAAGAGTACATACTATCAGCATGTTTTATAATTGATGATATTAACCTTGATCACCTGACTGAGGTAGTGCTTTGTTTGTTAGGTTTCTCCACCATAATATTACTGTCTCCTTCCCTTTCCGTGTTGTATTTTTTGGCAGGAGGTTCAAAGCCCATTACACTCAGCCAATGGAAGTTTATTTCTTCTTCAGTTCACTGCCCAAGGGAGATGTTTCAATGGCTGTCATCTTTTCTTTACCTGTTATTCAGGGACCCAACGTTCTTCCCTTCTGTTGCTTCTGTAGCCCCCAGGGCTATGTTATCTTAATCTGGCCGGTGTTAAGGAAAAGAGAATGTGGAGGAGAATGTTTGCTTTTAAAAACCTTGGCCTGAAAATGGCACACATCACTTCCACTTACATTCCATATGACACTCATTCATCTGCCAAACCCAACTGCAAGGGAGGCTAGGACATATGGTCTAGCTGGGTGCCCAGAAAAAAGAGGAAATGGATTTCAGTGAAATGCTTGCAGTATTTGCCACACCACTTTAGAGCACAAAAGGGAACAAACCAACCATTCCTCCCCTACCATCTAATAATATGGTCATCATTTCATTAAAAAAAGAAAAATAGTAATGGAAGAGCATAATTTTAAAATCAAGGAGTCATATAAACTGAAAAAAATTAGGTGCATAGAAAACCTATTCCATTGACCCTATTTGTCTTAGTGTCACTGTTGTGTTATGAACATTTGTTGAGAACAGGCACTTACTTGCATGTCTGCATTTGAGAACCCTTTTTTCTATTCTGTCTGTACCAGGCTGCATCATGCCCAGAGTTGTCATGTTTTGTGTGGAATGCCTTTCCTCTGGTTTCCTTGCCTACGGCAGTCCTACTCATTCTTCAAGTGACAGATGAAGTGTCTTATCCCAACCTTCAGACAGGACTGGTCACTTGCTCCTTGGTGACATCACGTCACTGTGATTCACTTCCTCGTTTATCAACTCTCCCACACTAGTATTATACACAAATATGTTTCATGCATTAGACTGGGTGCTCCCTGAGGACAGCAACGGTTTTATTCATGTCTTGGGTCCCCAAGCATAGTCTGACGAATAAATGTGCGTTCGTTGAATGTACCCAGGATGCTGGATATGCTGAATATGCTGAAAAGTTGTCTCATTTTGTACCTCCTTTCTTTAAAATAGAGCAAAACATGTTCTGGCTTTCCCCCTTATAAAGGAGATCCTCACTTATGATAGTCAAGCCTTCATGGAGGAGGTGATGTTGAGCTGAACCTGGAAAGGTTGGTAAGACTTGATAGATGGTAATAGATATAAAAGATGCCAGTCAGGCTACACAGCTTTCTGTGCCCCATCTATGTTATATATGTTCAGGGTATTTTTTTCAACAGATGATCAAGTCTCCTTTGGAACTTCTATAATATAGGATGTTCATTTTCACATATCACAAGATAATTAAAACGCAGACTCTGGGCTTGTTCTGGCACTGCTCTCAGAGATGGGTGCTCAGAGTCTGATGCTCATTATCATGAGCCGGAGTTCCCAACCTGAATTACCAGGGCTTCAACAGGGGATGGCTCCACCAAGGCTAAAGAAGTGTTTAATTACAGGTACAGAAAGAGGAGCATGAAGAAAACAAACAATCATTTACAGGTTTTAACGACTGAACTGCCATGCATCTCATTATCAATAAAAAATGACTTCTTAAAGTGACTTTATCGAGCTTATTAGAAATAAAGTATGAATTGTAAGAAAGTTGTCCTCTTCCTCCCTTCTATCATTTTCTATCCTGTACTTTTAGCTTTAGTGGCTTTACAAGCTCAGTTAATATGTTACTAAAGCAGAAGCTGGAGGCATATTCTTTTCTCAGAATGCTGCTTTTACCTCCCTTATACCGTGTCCTTGATTTTTATAGTTGAAACAGTAGACTTCAATTAGGATGTATATTTTATGGGTTTTCTAGTTCGTACTTTGTCATTATTCATTTGAAATTTGCAATGATTATAGAGTAGCACTTTTAAAAAATCTTACTATATAGGTACAAAAACTTGAAACTCAGATGTTAGTTAGATGAGTTGCTCAGGGCCACACAGCATTTGAGGTTCAAATCTATAGGTGAGTCTACCACATCAGAAGTTGCGTGTCAGCCAGGCGGCCAAAGGTAGAGGCACACAGAGAGCTGTTTGCGGCAACTATCACAAGGACAGAAAACCAAACGCTGCATGTTCTCACTCATAGGTGGGAATTGAGCAATGAGAACACTTGGACACAGGAAGGGAAACATCACACACCAGGGCCTGTCTGGGGTAGGGGGAGTGGGGAGGGATAGCATTAGGAGAAATACCTAATGTAAATGACGAATTAATGGGTGCAGCAAACCAACAAAGCACATGTATACATATGTAACAAACCTGCACATTGCACTCATGTATCCTAGAACTTAACATATAATTTCTTTTTCGAAAAAAAGAGAGAGTTGTTTGCAGCGTTAGCTAGCCATGTGTTTCCCCAACTTGTCCATAGTTGTGGGAATAGATGAGCCTATGGAGGAAGTGCATTGAAGACAAATCCATTCTTCTATTTCTGCCAGCATTCAAGGCAGAGGATTCTACTGTGCTCAAAGTAAATAGAGACTTACATGAAGGAACAAACAATCATTCAGTGTAACTTCAAGATTTTTATTGGTGTGGACATTGAAGTTCACAAATTTAAAAAATTGAATTTATTTAACTCATAAAGACAATATCTACCTATTAATTAGAATGCCTAATTTCCAGTTCAGTTCTTTGCTCATCAGCCTGCTTCCTCATTCCCGATTTCTTTGACATGTCTTTTGCTTCTTAGGACTGCTGTGAAAAAGACGTGTTGATAGAGACATTGCACCATATTCCCAAATAATGTGAATGTGATCAAGTCACATGTGCAAAAGTCCCAGCGACAGACACTTGTTACAGGGTGTAGGCCAATTCTCAAAGAATTAATCACATTGAATGTTTAACTAGAATTCTCTTTTAGACCTAAACATCAATAAATGCATTCAGTGTAACACAGAGTGCCTACCGTATTGCTGGGCAGAAAAAAGGCATTCTTGGTAAAGATTAGTTGAAAAAATGGGTGAAGGATGAAGTTGACTAGCTTAAATTCAGTGATTGTCCTTCTGAGGATACCATGTTGCTACTTTAGCAATCGTATGATTTCCATCTTTGCCTCAATTTTTATCTCTAGAAGCAGCATTTTTCTTTTTCTCCTCATTTTAATGAAATAATTAGGGCTATAAGTGCCCTAGAATAATTCATTTTTGCTCAACAATAGAGACAAAAATGGTGATGAGGTGGAAATTAGATTGTTGCTGGCAGCCAGCACTGCAATGAGAAAGCTTTAAATATTTATATTAGCTGATGCACAAAAATTCAAATGTGTTATACAAAGGTTAGTTTGAAAGTGTTCGTGTTTAGAGGGTTTTTAAAAGTTGAGCAATTCTGGTTTGAAATACTTAGAGAAATATGTATGACTTGATTTTTTTTTTTTTTTTTTTTGTACTGGAGAAATGAACTTTGGAATACTGAGGCTCCTCTCTGAAGAACTATGTAGTGAAGGTGAAATTTGCATTTCCACATATTTCCCAGTGTCATCTCGTGGCCATGGAAGTTTTGCTGTTGCCTGTGTTCTTCTCATCCAAACTATTCTTTCTGGCTGAACTTGATCACAAATTCAAAACCCAGGAGCTTCTGATGGAAAGCTGACATCCTACAGAAATAGAAGTCTTATGAACCTGGTTATGACTACTAGAAACTTAGAAATTACAGAGGCATTTGGCCTAAACAATAATTCTGGAATGAGACTATAATGTTGGTGAAATCTTGCAGTCAGACACCAGATGTACAAAGGAGGAAAATAATTCACTTTTTAGCATGTCTCGGTATTTTCCTAATCATAATTTGCTTTTATTTAGCTGCATTTAGTTTGTTGCTAAAAGTGTTATAGCTCTACCTCTAGATGGAATAAAAAGCATAGATATGTTACTGAAATACCCAACTCCCAAATACGTAATTCAATATTTAAGCTATTGGCATTTACATATTTACTTACAGGATGTTTTTAACAATTTGTAAGTGTGCATTTGTGTAAGCCAAATAAAAATTTGAATAATTATTTTGTTTTGCAGAACCCCAGCTGAAAGGGATTGTGACAAGGTTATTCAGCCAGCAGGGATATTTCCTGCAGATGCACCCAGATGGCACCATTGATGGGACCAAGGACGAAAACAGCGACTACAGTAAGAAACATCAGCTTCTTACAATCTGATTACAAATCAAATGTGGGGCCCAGTGTATCTCATACTTAAAGCATTGCTAAGCTGCCTTACCAAACTATGCCTTTCAAACTATTTAACTATTAGTAAGCTGGTGTCTTTTCCTTTATCCTTCTTGCTATGATTTCCTGCAGCAAAGACACAGTATAGGAGGGAGGTTATGCAGGTAAGAGAAGGTAAGAGGCTTAAAGGTATTTCCTTTGGTCAGTGGGCAAGAATATACTCCCATCGCGGTGTTTGTAGGCAGCATGATGATAAACACTCCTAACAACAATACAAGCACATCTTCCAACACGGGATGGTATTTAAATCCCGGAACCAAGAGATGAACAAGTTATAGTTCAATAATGAACAAGTTATGTATTTCTCAGAACACAATTTCCGACAGACAAAAATTACCTCTTAAGGTAAATACTGAGTACATGTATGTGTGTGTGTATATATGTGTGTGTGTGTGTGTGTGTTATATATATATAACATACATGTATGTTATTTTATGTTAAAGGCAAAATTGCTGATTTTAAAAGGAAAATATATTTAAATATCATGATTACATATGGCACATATAATAAATATATATAACAGTAAGAAGATAATGAAGACTGATAGACCTGAAATGGAATTTAAATTTTTTGGGGGGAAATAAAAATGCTGAGCATTCAAAGATTAATAATAATTTCTCTGGATATAGTTTTTAAGTGATCTAACTTTAGAGTTGACAAGTTCAAAAATTAAATGCAGTCATCAAGGTATGACAAAATGAATTTGCAGTCTAGAAAAATTTCAAATACAAGCTCCAGAGGCAAGATTGATAGCTCTCATATCTTTCAAATTTTGCATAATCATATACAGATACCTGAGGGCAAATTCGTGTCATTCTAAAATTATGTATGGTGCCATATTGTTTCCTAATGTTTGTCTGTCTTCATTGTTAGATCTTTAGTGTTGAGCACACAATAAATACTCATTGATATCTGTCCAAACAAGTTGTGATTCTGATGGATGTAATTTTGTGATCAGGCTGATAATCTACTAAGCTGCATAAAGTAATATAGGAAGCTAGATATTTTATAGTGAAATATCTTTTAAATTATTAAGAAATCTTTGAGGAAAAATTTAAAATTCCTAAAGAATGAAAATGATCTTGTCCACCCTTTCTAAGTTATTCTTTGTTCAGTTAATATCACACATTTAGAATATAATTTACAATAGATAAAAGATCTTATTATAAAGAATTTCATTTCAGTTTCCTTGCTTTCAGATTTTTTGCTAGGTTGTTGATTGACTTATTTTGGTTTGCACTGGTGGCGTGTTTTTGTGAGAGCATTCTTTAAATGAATAAAGCTTTCAGCTCAGTATAGAAGAATCAGGATAGTTTTCTCTCCGTGTATTTTCATTTATTGCATCTGTCATTAAATGTCGATTTAGTGAGGCTACAAATATAGATGCAAGAACCAGGGAACCACTTAGTTGTGTCACTTATCTGCACTAACTTCAAGATATTACTAGTTCTCAGGTTTTATTTCTATAAAATGTGATGGCTGGAGATGGTGATGATATATCAACATCTCTGTCAGCACCATCCATCTAACTTTAAAAAAAATTGAAAAATTATAAATTGATGAAGATAGAATCAATCCCTAAGTAAGACAATTAGCCATATTCAATCTACAAAATGCTATCTTTACCCAGCCAACTATCTTGCAAATGCATGACATTTATCATGGGGCAAAGACAGAAGGGTGTGGAAGTGCAGGTTTGGGGTCAAGCTAGGACAAATCCTTCCTGCATTCTTTCTAGGAAAATGATTGACAGTGCTTGCTTTGTTGATGCTGGGTTGACTGCTGGTGTAAATCTACACCCACGTGTACATTTGTACCTTCCTTCATGCATATATATATATCTCTCTCTTAGCATAATGTCATTATGCCTACCACACACAAACACACATACACACACACACACCAAAGGGCATGCATTGTGTCAGATACGTACTTTAAAAAATTCTCTGAACTCAGATTTAAACTAATGTTTTATTAAGATAAACTACCACACACACTTTTTAATCAGTTGTTTTTAAAATCATTTAGGTGTGCAAAATATAAGGATTAATACAAGTTTATCTGGATACCTACCACTAGCTTTTTATTTTATTTTATTTTATTTTTGAGACGGAGTCTCGCTCTGTCGCCCAGGCCGGAGTGCTGTGGCCGGATCTCAGCTCACTGCAAGC